AATCTGTTTCCAAAGCAATGCTTATCTGTATCTCAGACTTGAACCTGGTGTATTTATTGCTCAGCAACTGGTACCATTTTGGTGCCTGGAGAATAATAGCAAAACAAAACAATAAAAAACATTAATAGGGAATAAACAGTAGTGGGAAATATTCTATAAGGTTCTAAATATATTTCCTGTCATTTCTCAGTACTTCCTCCTCTATTAAAATATTTTTTCCACATTTTCTTCAAAAGAAATTAATCCTGCTTATGAAGCTAACAGAATTTCCTCTTGAAGTAAAGTTTCGGGTGTCTTTCTTGCTCCTATTTCTATGCTTCAACAGGTAATATATTGAAGAAAACAATATTTCTTTCTATCTTTACTCTTATGTCCCCAATCTCCCATCCCTTAAACAATTAAAAAAAAGACTACCAATTTTGCATTTCCCTAAACCATAATTTCTCACTTTTTGTATTATACCTTTTCTGCCTGGCACATTTCTGCTTTGTTCTGTTTATATCAAACAAGGAAAAGAAAGTTTAATAATAACAATAACAAAAAATTAACAAAATACTAAAAGTCTAATATACTATTCAGAGTTCTGAATTTTGAACCATGTATTTGACTGACAATAACACATTGCAGGCCAGTAGTTTTATTGCTAGCTTTGTACCCAGTGGCCAGATAAGTTTCTATTCAATGAGTACAAAAAACGTTTTACGAAGTATCATACTTTAAAAAGACATTAGCTTGTAAGAACATGTAATAAATAACTTCAAAATGCAATGGGTATGTAATTTTAAGACGTGCCTTTCACATTTATGTAAAACACTGTGTAATATGAAAACATGAGAATGTTCGTGATTTGCCCGCAATGTGTTAACATATAAAGTCTTTCTCACAAGATGAGGTATCTTAAATTACCTGAGTAAACCCCCAGAGTAACCTCAGAAATTCTAGTACCACCACCAGCCTTCAAAATTTCATGGTCCAGGACCACGTGTATCATCAGTGCAGGAACCACTGGTCAGCAGGGCACCATCTCAATACCTAGAAACAGCATTCTTATTCTGACCACTGTTCTATCAAGGCATGGTCTGGTGCTTACACTGACCAAAACCAAAAACTGCTGTTTTGGTTCAGTAAGTTGTTTGTAAGCAAAATAGGATTAACTAGGCCACAGATTTTTAAAAATTCACAACCAAGTTGAGTTTTGGGGTTTTTTTAAGACAAAAATACCTATATTTGTTGAGGTACTTTCATGTGGTACTTTTTAAGAAAAAATTTGTTTGTTATTATCCTTATGACAAATATTTTCTAATTTTTAGTACAAGCCTGAAAAATAATATTTTTAACTACTTGCAGACTTTATGATCTATTTTTATTATACAACTCAGAAAAACGAATCTGGATTTCTCTGTTTACTAGAGGCCAGTGCATGAATTCATGCAAGGGTGGTGTAGGCCAGCCCGCCCCGATGGGGGCCAATTGGGAGTGGGGCCGTTCGGGGTAACGGCCACAGAAGGTTGGGAGGGTCAATCGGGGCCAGGATCAGCCGATTGGCTGTCGCAGTGCATGTCATAGCGACCGGATGTTCTGGTCATTCCACCGCTGGGCTTTTATGTATATGGATATTTATTTACAGAAAATAACATTACTTTTAATTTCAAATATTTTACTGGCCAACTTCATATATTTCTGCTGGCAAACAAAAGAGTAAGCAAGACAATTGGTTTTCCTAAAAATAATATAATTTTAAAACACTTCTCCTTAACTTCCAATCACTAATATGATGACGAACTATCCTCAAGAATGAAATAAGATGCCCCAGCTGGTCTGGCTCAGTGGAAGGAGCATCAGCCTGCAGACTGAAGGGTCCTTTAGGTTCAATTATGGTCAAGGGCACATGCCCGGGTTGTGGGCTCAATCCCCAATAGGGGGCGTGCAGGAGGCAGCTGATCAATGATTCTCTTTTATCATTGATGTTTCTATGTCTCTCTACCTCTCCCTTCCTCTCTGAAATCAATAAAAATATATTAAAAAAAAAAAAAAACGAGATGAGAAAAGAAATGCCAAGAGGATTCAGAAGCTCTTCTGAATGACCTCCTCTCAGATACCCTCCTCCTAAAAGGAATTACAGTGGGGCCTTGACTTACGAGTTTAATTCGTTCTGAGACCAAGCTCGTTAACTCAAATTACTCTGTCAACTCAATGCAAAAAATCGGCCGAGAGACAGCTGGTATCTCAAAAAACTCGTTAGTCGGGACACTCGTTAAGTCAAGGCCCCACTGTACCTTCTCTGTAACCAAAGTGATTATAGAAGTGTCTTCTGGACACTTGCAAGTTGCAGCAGAGAAGTTGGGTAAGAGAAACATTGGGGCACAAGCATGGCCCTGGTTCTGAGTTCAAGATTAAAATAGGAAAACCTTTTTAGGACCAAAGAGCAGATTGGTGATGAGTAAGGATCGAGGATAAACAAGTCCTCTTTTAAAGCACTTTAAAAATTCAGTTTTTTTTTTAATAATCCTGAATTTGGGCCAGGTTGACTGGCTCATTTGCAAATATCAATGCTATCAGCAGCAAAAATGTTAGTAACAGATAAATTTTTCTTCACAGAATCCTAATTTAAGATTCAAATCAAGAATAGAGAACTTTAAAATAAAGTAGATATTAATTTTTACTTTACTTTCTTTAAAAAATTGTGACAAAACAAAGACATTAAGAAAAACTAAAAATAAAGTTATTTAAAGTCAATAATGTACAAAAAAGCTAAAAGATAGACATAAGAAAAAATATTTTCAAAAACAAAAAGCACTAACACAGAAATAAAGACCCAGAGTTCTCTTTATTTCTTTTTATTTTTTTTAGTGGGGTGGGAGGAGGCTGCTGTTTACATTGCATTAAGTGGGCTACAATAAGTTCACTCTATTATGTAGGGAAGGGAAGGAGCAAAAAACAGGGAAACCAATTAGAAGGCTACTATGACAGCCAACGTAAGAAACGATGGCGGCTTAGGTTGAGCAGGGAAAATGCAGAACAGTAGGTGAATCAGGAGGGGAAAAACTAACTGGAAAGAGGCAGAAAACTAGGGTGACAAGGAAGACTTCTCTATTTCTAGCTTATAGAACTGAAAGGAGATGGTGACCATGCACTGCAGCAAGGGACAGCGGAAGACCACTGTTGAAAGCAAAGCCCAGGAGTTGCAGATGTCAAGCTCAAGGTAACAGGTTTGAGCTCAGAGACAAGTTTCTTTGAGAATGATAGCTCTAGGGCAATGAAATTATTAGAAGATCAGGATTTTCTAAACCAAGTTCACAAACTAGAACATAAGAACTGCCTTTCAAACCCATAATCCATCAGGCCCAGTATTCCTGCCCTTTTCATCAATCTGACTGATACATTTTGAAAAATAAACAACTGCCAAACATAATCAGTAATAAACATCAAAAGGGCAATACCTGCTTTGTTTCTTGAGCAGTTCTTAAGTCTAGAAGAACGTAACCTATAGTTTCCTTGGCTGAAGTCAAAGCATCCAAGGCAAAACACTGGAGTTTGATAGGAGTACGCTGTAGCCTGTAACATAACCATTCAGGTGATAAGTAAAACAGCTTTCACTTAATATTGAACTGATTTTGTATTACCCCTGACAAAGCTGCCTACTACTATCAAGATTCCATAGTTTGTGAAAAACTTTTCAACTGGCAAGAACTATTAATTTTATCTACTTACCTAAATACCAACTATTTACAAAACATGTCAAAATCTTAGTGTCCCATCTAAGAGGCTGCCCTAGGTCAATGTGTTTCACACTTCTGTAATGTACAGAAATCTTTTAAAGTAAAAAATTACCACTATTCATTAAGATTGATTTTAAATTGTTTTTCTTATATTGTCACACACATACAACTACATATATACATATAGACTTACAGTTCTTTTGATAGCTAAAAACCAAAATAAAGTAAGGAATTAGATACCATAAAATCATAAGCTTTTAAAATCAACAGTAACGTAATGTAATACATGACAATGTCCTGTAAGCATGGCCCTGACTGGTACAGCATGGGCTTTTTGCATCTGGAATCTCTATACTGGCTCTTGGGGTAAGCTGATTAAATTTTGTCATCATTTTTATCTAGTGAGATGATTGTGAAATCTGCACTTGGCACAAAAATCATCATTAATATATTCATTTTATCTCTATTTTTTCTTAGCCTATACATTCAGAGTGATACTGGTGAGCACTAACAAAAATGTAAAAACAATCACCAATGTAGGCACGAATATCTTATATCAGGACTCTCTCTAGGTAAATATTCCAGAAGTCACTGAAAGCAAATACAAAATTTGATATTCGCTAAGAATTTAATTCCCTTATAAATAAACCCATGGACTGATCTAGCAAAAAAAGGTAGTAAATTTCTTATTGCTCTAATTTTTAACTTTGAATTTTGTTCTGATTTAGTACTAAGTACTAAAGTGACCGTGTGTTTCCCAGAGGGAAATATATTTTAAATCCTTTTAAAAATAAAAGTATCAGTGTTCTTGCCTGCTTCTGTTCATCAGAGTACATGAAATAAATAAGAGACTATTAACCTATAGTCTCTTTATATATTAATAAAGTGGTCAAGTGTCTAAAATTGAGTATAAAATTAATTAGAGAGTCCTTTATATAATTATACTATATACATATCTATAAGTCCTTGACAAGCCAGGTAAAATATATGATAAATGAATAGAAAATGCAATGAATTCCAAAGCATATTTAATATTGGGTAGCATTATTATAGCACTTCTAAAGTATCTATTCTCTCAGACATTAGCAAAAAAAAAAAAAAAGCCAGGTATAGTGGTTAAAAACTTAGGCTCTGGTGCTGGATTGCCTGGGCTCTACCACTATCCAGCTGACTCAGGACAAGTTACTTCACCTCTTAGGCCTCAGGTTTCTCATCTGTAATGTGGGGGATATAATATCTACTTCATAGAGTTGTTCTGATTTTTATTATTTTATTTATTTATTTTTGAGAAAGAGCTCACTTTATTGGGAATGGAGCGCTGCACATTGGGCTCCTACACGTGGTGCTCAGAGAGGTGCACAGGGCACAGAATGTGCTGCTAATGAAGAGCAGCTGAATGGGCTCCTCTGGGCAACTTCACCACCTCTCCCCCAGGGTCGGCACCCCTGACCTGACCACTTCCTTGAAGGCAACTGAGGTTCCCTAGAGATAGAGCCCCTTAGGGGTACCTTCTTTTTTATACAGAACATTTTCTTTCGATTTTTTGAAGTCTTCATTTGTGACTTTCATTCTACATTCTCTCAAAGCCATGAGACCAGCTTCTGTACAGATTGCCTTGATGTCAGCACCAGAGGGGTCATCCTTAGCCATGACCAAGTTGTCCAGTGTCACGTCATCAGCCAGCGTCATTCTGCCTGTGTGGATCTGAAAGATGCACTTCTTGGTCTTTTCATCAGGCAGGGGGAACTCAATCTTCCGTCGATGCAGCCTGGTCTGATTAGTGCTGGATCCAGAGTTCCTATTCAGTTTGTGGCCATGATAACTTTTACACCTCCCCTTGACTCAAATCCATGCAACTGGTTCAACAGTTCCAACATTATTTGCTGAATTTCTCTCTCACCACCGGAGTTTGAGTCTTATCTTTTTTTCCCAATGCCTTCAATTTCATCAATAAACACGTTGGATGGTGCATGTTCTTCAGCAACTCAAAACAATTCCCAAACGAGCTTATGCCTGTCACCTAGGTACTTCTGAGTAAGTTCAGAGCCAACCACTTTCAAGAAAGTGGCTGAGGTTTGGTTTGCTACTGCTTTAGCCAGTAAGGTTTTACCTGTGTCAGGTGGCCCATAGAGAATGACCCCCTTACGGGGCTTTATACCCATCTCTTCATAATACTCAGGATGAGTGAGAGGAAGTTCCACAGATTGCTTAATTTCCTGGATTTGGTTGTCCAACCCCCCAATGTTGGCAGAGGTCTCCTGCAGGGCCTTTACCACCTTCATCACCATGACCAAGGGATCCGTGTCATCCATCAGTACCCCTATTACAGCACGCACCTGTGATTGAGCAGGATGGAGCAGCCTGATTCCACCAAGTCCTTGTCCACAAAGGAAAGAATGCTGACATAGTGTTCTGAGCCCACAGATGTAGACACGATGGCATGGTTGTCATCAATGATCTCTTCCAAGGTCCCCACTGACTCTGGGGTTCCCCTCAGGTCATCCACCTTTGATCTTTCCTCCTCTTGCTTTTCTTTTAAAGGCTTCATTTGTTCCTGATTTCTAATGAATTCTTCCTCCATGAGAAGACAGTCTTTAATTCTTTCTAACTTCAATAATTTTAACTGGCACTGAGTGTGAGGTGTCACCAGTGGCAGTTTGCTGGCAGCATCTGGTCCCTTTGTTTTCTTCTTCTTTTTCCCCACTCTAATTGGTATGGGAGGTTCATATTTCTTCTTCTTGTCCTTGTCATCCTTCTTGCCACCTCCAGGACCATGACCACCACTCTGACTTTGACCCATCTTCCCTCGGCAGCACAAGCCACCACTGCCGGAAGTGTGTTCTGATTTTTAAATGAATTACTGTTGCAAAGTACTTTCAAAATTTCCTGGCACATTAATAATATTTGAGGGTTGTTGTTTTTTATTACTATAATCTATACATATATAAATTTATTTACAATAGCCTGAAAAAGAACAGAACAAATTGAAAATAACAGCCACCTGTGCTGATGGAGTGCTTTCCTGTCAATTTCCCAGGCTAATTCTGTAGCAAATTCTGGCTGGTCAATGTGGTCCACGGGATCAGTAGCCAACTGTTCTCCATCAAACTTTGCTTCTACTACAAGCATATGCTTTGGACGTTTGGGGAAATGGCGACCTGGGAAAAAAAGAGTATATAGATTAACCAAAAGTATACAAAACTCAGCCCTGGCTGGTTGGCTGCTCAGTGGTTAGAGCAATGGCCTGCGCCCCTGAAGAGTCCTGGGTTTGATTCCTGGGGGCATGCAGGAGGCAACCAATTGACATGTCTCACTCACACCCATGTTTCTCTCTCTCTCTCACTCTCTCTCTCTCTCTCTATATATATATATCCCCCTCCCTCCCACTCTCTAAAAAAAAAAATGAAAAAAATATCCTCAGGTGAGGATTAACAAAACTAAAAAAGTATACGAAAGTCAAATATTATTATTTAGCATGTACTTTAAAAAGTGATATATAAAGAGTAGTTGACTTTTCATATATTCAATAAACTACCTTGCTAACACACATATTCACATATGCACTCAAAATCAGTGTTCATAAAAAACATTAATCAAGTTTAAAGCTATAATTTATAAACGAGTGCTTCTCAAACACTATGAATGTACCTACGAATCACCTGGGACCCTGTAAACTGCAGACACAGGTTCAATAGGTCTAGGGAGGGCCTGAGAGTCTGCATTCTAACAAGATCACAGTTAATGTCAATGCTGTTGCCCTTTGTTCACACCTTGAGCAGCAATAATCTCAACATTTAGAAATAAAGAATTAAAAAATGTCATTACACCAATTTCAAATATTACTATACCAGTACTTAATATAGAACAAAGTCATCTGGAGAGTTAGGAAATAATCAAATTGGCAAAAAAAAAACAAATTTCTCTGTATATTGATTTGTGTGTTAACAGTTAAGAAAATTTTGCAAATTAGCTAAGGAAAATAGATGCATGTATTCATTCATTTTGTTCTCAAGGACAACGTTGTATATTGCAAGAAATATTAAGTATTCTATCTATCTACACATCACATTTCATTTGTACTGCCTGACCCTGTTTCTTCACTGTTTACCAAAGGCATATTCAGAGACAAGTATTATGTCAGATGATGGGATGCAAAAAAAGTAAAAGAGTACTTGCCCTCAAGGAATGGAAGGTCTAGTGGAAAGAAAGAAAACACTAAAAGCAGGAAGCTAAAGAACTAAGGAAGCAGCAGCAAGAATCTACAGTCAACCTGTTTGTAGGTCTGGTGAGGCAGATCTTGGTTAAGGGTCCTTTAGTCACTGTGAGGAAATTCATCCCTGCTGCTACTTACCCTGGTACAAGCTTAGTTAGCAATTAAGCTAAGACCTTGATTGAAAACCTGTGAATTTCACCTGTGACCCTCACTGAAACTCCCCCATTAGGAATCTTGCTACATATGGCCTGGCTCTCCCAATTAGCACTCACAGAAGTTTCTCTCTGGACCTCATTTTCAGTTGCTCTAAAATATCACTAGGTTCCCCAAATGAATTTCACATGTCAAAAAACCTATACTTTCAGACTATCATGAGGATGACCTCCAATAAGCTTGAGAACAGAGGCTACATAGTACAATAACTAGGTGCCTGCCTCATCCCAAAGACAAGTAACACCTTGAGAACAGAAACCCTGTCTTTTTCATCCTTAAAATTCGGTACATGGCCCAAATTCTGCTCGTGGTAGAAACCCAATCATTTTCTTTTAAAGAAAGGGCATTTCCAGAAGTGTAGTCAAGAAACTGCAAGCAGTTCAATCCATATAGTTGAAGGGCTGGGAACGCATGAATAGGTGGCAGGAAGGGAGAAAGGCTGAAAGGCACACAAGTGGTCCCCATAAAGGGTATGCTATTCTAAGAAATACAGGCATTATCCTTTAGGACACCGGAGGGTTTTAAGAAAAGGGGATGTGCGTTTCAGAAAGAGCATCCCCAGATAGTAACATGGACGGGAGGTATTTTCTAGAAAGGAAGAAAACACTTACGAAATGTTATTACAATAGATTAGGTAGATAACAAGGACCCCAAAGCAGGGCACTCACAATGGAAGCTCATTCATGTAAAGTTTCTCTGAACCATCTGCTATTACTTTAAAAATGAAAGCAATTGAGGCAACGGCGTGGTTATGATGAATAGAAATACAAACACCAGAGGAGGAACAGTTTGGAGGGAGGACCAAATGCCAGCTTCAGGTTTGTTTGTGGCAACACCTAACTGACATCCCTGATTCCAGGTTCTCCACCCTGCACGCTGCTACTAAACTTGCAAAAATACTTTATCCTGCCTGGGAATGTATCACGCCTCTCTGTTATTTAGCACATTAAACCATTTGTCTTTCAAGAGCCTCCAAGGCCTGTTCACTCTAGTTACACAAGCTGATGTCTCACCACATTCCTAAATATCCACCTTCCCCTACATACCCTGCTCGTCTGCTACCTCTTCACTGTCCCACCTACCACACTCCTGCCCACCTCACCCTCGTTGTCCATCGCCTGGAATGACTCCCTTCTGTCCACCTATCTAAAGCTTACTTACCATTAAGAGCACCTCGGCCATCATTCCCACCCATCCCCAAAACCTACGTTTATAGCTCATATCATACATGTTCCATATAGTCTACCCTAACATAGTGTGTGCTGCCCGCACGCTGATTTGATACTCCCAAGTGGACAAGACCCCCACATCCTTGAATGGAAAGGGGGTGCCTCCTATTCCCATTTCCTCACAACATGGGATACAGCGCCAAGTCCAACAGCTTTCGTTAACAAAATGACCGTGGGCTTTCAGTCCTGTGACTTCCAACAATTAGTGACCTGACAGTTAACGCTATCCCAACTCTTGCAGTGGCTCTCAACCTTCCTAATGCCGCGACCCTTTAATACAGCTCCTCATGTTGTGGTGACCCCCAACCATAAAATTATTTTCGTTGCTACTTCATCACTGTAATGTTGCTACTGTTATGAATAGTAATGTAAATATCTGATACGCAGGATGTATTTTCATTGTTCACGACCCACAGGTTGAGAACCGGTGCTCTATGGGTTCTTGTCATTCAACTGTTCCAAAACTCAAAAAAATAGGGGTTCACCGTGTTTACTTCCCTCTCGCCCCACAAAAAAAAAAAAAAATCACAGAACATGCCTTGCTTTTCGACACCTTACGTGCACTTGGCGCTTCCCTTTGCCCGGAAGACCCCCCCCCTCCCTTTTGTCACCTGACAAGTCCCTAACCAGCCTTTGGGACCCAAATAAACTTCACCTGCTCCAGGCAGCCTCCCCGGCTTCCCCCAAAGGGGGTCACCCCTCTGCCTGACCCCATGAACTGTTTGTGGACACATCCGCCATCCCCAGCTGTTAGAACCAGCACTGGGGTACCCCTCCATTCCCAGCACAGAGCCTGACCCTCCAGGGCTCTGCCACAGGCCCTCCCGACAACCCCCCAGCCCTCCGTGCAGCCTTGCAAAGGCCGTGGCCTCCACACGCCTCCGAAACGGCAGCAACACGTATTCGAGTGCAAGGAGAGTTCTTGCAAAAACGCCTTTGCCGGGAGGCGGCTGAACAGAACGTGCGGAGCAGGCACAGCCTCGGCTCCTGGCGAGTGTCGTCGACAGGCTGCGGCTGGAAATCGTTTCTCCACCCCCACCCCCCCGGGGCTGCGCTAAATGCCACCTCTCCTTCCCGGCGCCCCGACTCCCGGGAGACGTTCAAATCAATTGCCCAGCAGGCCTCCCCGCGCACGGCTCTGCGCCAGTCTTTGGGGACCACGGAGGCGGGGATGACAAGGTCCTCGGGGTCCGCACAACCCCGGTGAACACTCAGGAAGCAGCACTTGCAAAAGGAAGTCCTGGGCCGCTCACCTTCCAGGATGGACACGACGATGAGCAGCTGGTCGGACTTGGAGACCATGGTCGCGGGCTGCGGCCCGCAGGCGGGGTCTGCTG